CCGAGTCTTGCTTTGTTGTAAATGCGGGGGGGCTGCTTTCAACATGTGTTGGCCGGTGGTTGGGCCTTATCATGCAGGCAGCAGCGGCAGCCGTGGATTGTTTGGACAAGAACTCCATCGGCGAGCTGAAGGGTTTCGGCAAGCCCCCACCCGAGTGCATCGACGTGTGCGCCGTGGCGGCCTTCCTTCTCAAGAATGAGAAAAAGAAGATCGACTGGAAGGCCGCGCAAAAGATGATGAACAACCCCATGGCTTTTATCGATGAGGTTAAGGCCTTCAATGCCAACGAGATTCCGGAGAACACACTCAAGGAGTGCGATGCTTTGATTGCACTTCCGTTCTTCAACTACGAGACCATGAAAGGCAAGAGCGTGGCCGCGGCCAACTTGGCAAACTGGGCCATCAACTGTGTGAAGTATCACAAGATCTACGTCAAGGTGGCGCCTCTCATGGCCAAGGTGGAAGAAGCGACCAGGACCAAGAATGAGGCTGAGGCCAGCCTGGAGATTGTGCTGAAGCAAGTGGCCGACATCGAGGCTGAGTGCCAGAGGTTGGAGGAGAAGCTGAATGGCGCGGTTGCGGAGAAGGAGAAGGTGGAAGCGCAGGCTGCTACATGTCTCGAGAAGCTCGGCTTGGCAGAGCGCTTGGTGAATGGCTTGGCGGATGAGTTCCTGCGCTGGACGGGCACCGTGAAGGAGCTGAAGGACTTGGCGCTGAAGCTCATCGGGAACTGCCTGTTGGCCTCGGCCTTCGTAGGCTACATCTCGCCCTTCTCCATGGCCTTCCGGAAGCAGCTCTGGCAGGAGGGCTGGACGGGCGACATCACGAGCCGAGGCATTCCCATTAGCGCTGGCATCGATCCGCTGAAGGTGCTGTGCACCGAGGCAGACATTGCAGGATGGCAGAACGAGGGCCTGCCTTCGGATCGGATCTCTGTGGAGAATGCTGCAGTGGTGACCAGCTGCTCACGATGGCCGCTCATGATTGACCCGCAGCTGCAGGGCGTGAAGTGGATCAAGCAGAGGCTTGGCGAGGATTTGTCGGTGCTCCAGTTCACCATGAACCAGTGGCTGTCAAAGGTGGTGTTTGCCATCCAGATGGGTGGCCAGCTGCTGATTGAGGCCGTGGGTCAAGAGATCGACGCCATCCTGGAGCCAGTGTTGTCCCGAGCTGTGATAAAGAGAGGTCGCAATGCGATGATCATCAAGATTGGAGGTGAGGAAGTGGACTACGATCCCAAGTTCCAGCTGTACCTGCAATCAAAGCTGCCCAACCCGCACTACAGGCCAGAGATCGCAGCCCAGTGTACCATCATCAACTTCATTGTCACTCCAGATGGCCTTGAGGACCAGATCCTGGCCATGGTGGTGAACGTGGAAAAGCCCGAGCTGGAGCAGGAGAAGCAAGAGCTGGTGCGCAAGCAGAACGACTTCAAGGTCACTCTGTCGCAGCTTGAGAGTGACTTGTTGTCGCAGCTGTCCACGGCGGATCCCGCGACCATTTTGGACAACATCCCCTTGATTGAGGGCCTGGAGAAGACCAAGGCCACGTCCAAGGAGATTGCCCTGCAGGTGGAGCAAGCCCAGAAGACGGAGGTTGAGATCAACACTTCCCGAGAGCTGTACCGTCCCGTTGCGGCTGAGGGATCCATGCTCTTCTTCCTGATCATCCAGCTGTGCTTCATTGAGCACATGTATCAGTACTCGCTGGACTCCTTCGTGAATTTCCTGTACAAGGCCATTGATCGAACCGAGCCAACTGATGACATTGCCGAGCGGACAAAGCGGCTGATCTCCGTCATCCGCATGACCGTCTTCCGCTGGGTGAACCGAGGCTTGTTTGAGAGGCACAAGCTGATTTTCTGCTCCATGCTGACTTTCAAGCTTTTCCAGAAAGGCTTCCTGCCGGAGGATTTCAATCCCGCATACTTCAACTACCTCCTGCGTGCCCCGTTCTCCATTGGCATGGAGAATCCGTTGTCGGAATGGTTGCCGATCAAGAACTGGGGCTTGGTGCTGAAGCTGAACGATTTGGAAGGCTTCGAGAATTTCGCCCAGAACATGGAGAAGGATGCGCCAAACCGATTCAAGGAGTGGTTCAACGAGATTGCCCCCGAGGAGGTGAAACTGCCCCTGGACTGGAAGCGCCTGGATTCCGTTCCATTCCAGAAGCTGCTGGTTCTTCGGGCCCTGCGTCCAGACCGCTGCTGCGCTGCCATGGCGGAATGGATCCGCAACATCCTGCCCAACGGCCGAGACTTCATGGACTGTGATGGCTCCTCGTCCTTCGCGGTGATTCTGAGGAACTCCTTCGAGGACTCCACCAGCACCACGCCCATTTTCTTCATCCTGTCGCCAGGCGCGGATCCAGTGAAGGAGGTGGAGTCCATGGGCAAGAAGAGACCGGAGGGCTTGTCGCTGGGCCAGAACTACTGGAACGTGGCCATGGGGCAAGGCCAGGATGTGGTGGCCATGGCGAAGCTGGACATTGGACACCGTGAGGGTCACTGGGTCATGTTGCAGAACATCCACTTGATGCCGAAGTGGTGCACCGAGCTGGAGAAGAAGCTCGATGTCTTTGCGGTGGAGAACAGCCACCCCAACTTCCGCCTCTTCCTCTCCGCTGATCCGAGCAAAGGCATCCCGATTGGCATCCTGGAGCGATCCATCAAGTTGACCAACGAGCCGCCTCAGGGCATGCTGGCCAATCTGCGGCGATCTTTCGCGCTGTTCCCCAAGGAGGACTTCGAGGACAAGGACGCCAAGGTGAAGTCCATCCTCTTTGCCTTGTGCCACTTCCACTCGTTGATGCTGGAACGAAAGAAGTTTGGGCCCATGGGCTACAACATGATGTACCCCTTCTCGGCCGGCGACCTGCGAGATTCAGCCCAGGTGCTCTACAACTACCTCGAGGGCTCCTCGGCCGTGAAGATCCCTTGGGATGACTTGCGGTACATCTTTGGAGAGATCATGTATGGTGGCCACATTGTGGATGACTGGGATCGGCGCATGTCCCAGAAGTACTTGCTCTACTTCATGCGAGACGAGCTCCTGGACGAGATTGACATGATCCCGTATGCAGAGGGCAAGCTCTCCTGGCCCTCGCCGCAGCCTGCCGCCCACGAGCGGTATCTGGAGCACATTGAGACGATGCCGCCTGAGTCTCCGCTGTTTTTTGGCATGCACCCGAATGCGGAGATCAACTTCCGAACAACGGAGTGCGACAAAGTCTTTGAGATGCTGCAAATGCTCACAGGCGGTGCGGGCGGTGGTGATGGCGAGGACGATGCAGCAATGGGCCCCATGGCCGTCGCACAGATGATCTGCGATGAGATCTTGGAGGAGGTTGCAGAGAAGCGCTTCCCAACTGATGATGTGAGCCGGGGCATGACTGATGAGGATAAGGGCCCCTACCAGTTCGTGTTCCTGCAGGAGTGTGAGTACATGAATGCGTTGCTGTATGAGATGGACAAGGGGTTGAAGGACAGGAGGAAGGCAACAAGCTCAATGCCAGACCAAAAGCGTCACGCTTTTGCTAGCTCACGCGGTGCTAGGTTTAACTCAGGCCCTGCGGCCTGATGGCTAAGTAAAGCAAAACACATATCAGCCAGATCCCTCACCACACAGGTCCAGCCATAGGTTGGATTCCGCTATGTCTCAATGCTTCTTTATTCCTGTCATTCCTGGTAATGAACTCCTTTTGTTTCACGGTGTCGGGCCCTTTTGGGGAATGCAGAGTGGCCGAGCCCTGCAGGAGCTTCAGCTGGGTTTCAAGGGTGAGTTGACCATGAGCGAGAATATGGAGGACATGGCGCAGTGCCTCTACTCCGAGAAGCTCCCAACTTGGTGGGTGAAGCTCGGCTTCGCCTCTACTCGCCCGCTGAAGTCATGGCGTGTGAACCTTCAGGAGCGATACACGCAGCTGGACGAGTGGATCAACGATCCCTTGAACATCCCCAAGGTGGTGGATATCTCCAAGCTCTTCAACCCCCAGAGTTACCTGACGGCCATCAAGCAGATTTGCTGTCAGAATCAGGGCCTGGAGTTGGACAAGTTGCAGGTCTTCACGGAGGTCACCAAGAAGGAGCCCAAGCAAATAGATTCAACGTGCAAGGATGGCGCCTATGTCTCTGGCATGTACCTGGAGGGAGCGCGATGGGACATGACGTCCAATTCATTGGAGGACTCCAAGCCCAAGGACATGTTCACAGCAATGCCAGTGATCACATGCAAAGCTGGACACTTTGGCTTGCTTTTGCCCCCCAATTCTCATCTTGTTTTTTCTTTTCCTCCCATTGTGCACTCCACAGACTTGTTTTGAGTGGCTTGGGTGTCCAGAGGATGCTGTGACGTGAGCACTTGTAAGGAATGGCCAGCGACAAAGTGGACAAGAACATCTACATTTGTCCCACCTACTGCGTGCCGACGCGCCGCCCGTACTTTGTCTTCGCCGCGCAGCTCCGCACGAAGGCACCTGCGGACAAGTGGGTGCTCGCGGGCGTGGCCATGATCTTGGACATCGGGATTTAGCCGAGCGCATTGAGCGCTTGCATGAGCCTTCGGCAGGGCTAAGCCCTTTCCGAAGCACAGAAAGGCCTACAGGTGGCAGAGGCAAGCTGAGGCCACTCAGGATTTGCATGCTTCGTTAGCAAGATGGCACTTGCGAGGAACATGCCCGTCACCTGCAGTACTTTTGGAGTTGCTGCCAGTAGCAGAATTTCCCGGCTGGTGGAAAGACATTGGCAGATTTTCAATTGAGATGCAGGCAAGCTTAGCGTAAACACTCTTAGATTCACACTTACTTTGCTGTCAGGCAACTTGTGTTTGCAGCCAGCATTTCAAGCCAGGAACTTCCCAAGACAAAGAATTGCAAGACTGTGCATGCATCATCGTCGCCACAAAAAGTGATTCGATATTTTTGGAGAGCGCGACGACGCGAGAAGTCATCTTACTCGTATTTTGTTACACTTTGCCCCTTGCAGATCGACTGCTTTGGCCCAGGATCGATGGCTGCGCGCGGCGTGGGGATGCCGCTGGTGCTGTGCGTTGGCTGCAGGAGCTGCGGCAACGAGGTCTGAGTTCGAGGGGTTGAGTGCAGGGTTTGCGAGATGTACACTTGCCCTGTTTTATTTTTGAGAGCGTCACCGAAAGTCGGCCTCTTATGCCGCCTTAGACGGGGCTTGTTTTTGAAGTGATTTGGGGATGCCTCTTCATATTAAAGCGCTGTTTGTTGTGAATCTGAAGGTTCGCATTATGGCTGGTGCGCTGTCCTGCCAGGTTTGTCCCCAAACACTGTCACTTACACTTCGCTGATCAAGTGCTCTGCAAAGTTTGGTGACCTGCCTGGTGCTTTGGCAGCAGTAGTGACTCCCAATGCCTCCCACCTTGGCACCAGATGTGGTTGGTGGTTCTGTGCCACTTCACAACTTGCGTTCAACTGGCGACGTGGCCTTGGCGACCAAGCCCGCTGACGGACGAGTAGGGCAGGACGTGTGTTTTTCATTCCGGAATTGATGCCTCTGGGGCAGCCAGCCAACCAGACTTATGTGCCAGAGCTCACTGCTCGGCCTGGCTGGCTTGCAAGGTGCTGTGCGCTGGCTTCAAGAAATGACAAGCAATGAGCTGACACCTGATGCTATGGCCTACACAGCAACTTGGTGCAAGATGGTGTCAGGTGAGCCGGCGACAGGTGAGGTTAGGCAAGGTCCAAGTCAAGCCGAGCAGCCAGGCCGTGATCCACTGCAGTGCCAAGAAGGGTAACGTGGATGATGCCACGGCTTGGTTCAAAAGGATGCTTGAGAATGGCCTGAAGGACGGTCCAGGGTGAGTACAAATAAGCGAGCCCAACATCCCTTTGGGCTGCAATCGTTGCTTTTATTGAGCCCAGACGCAAGCTCAATCTGAGCTTGGGCCATACATTACATCTCCCGCAAAAACCAGACGACTCACCAATGTTGCCATGTCCCCTTGGGAAAACGTGTAGCTTCTTGGACTACTTTCGGTTGGATGCGGCAGGCTGACTACGTCACCTACACTGCGCTCATCAACGCCTGTGCGAAGCGCAGCGACGTGACTGGGGCAACGGCCTGGCTGCGGGAGATCCTGGCCGCTTGGGTTGCAGAAGGCGTAATGGGATGGAAGCATCCTGCTTCTCCGCCAATGGGAAAAACGATGCACCCCTGCTCGGTCACCCTGTGTCGGAGCCTGTACGTAGATAGGTTCGTACCTCCAGTTCACAGGGAGTTAGGGGCCCGTGATTATTTTTTCTCGTGAAGTTTGATTTATTTTATTCTTCCCCTGCTGGTGCACTGCGCTGCCATACTAGTGGTACACCAAAAGCTACTTGTACCGGCCATGCGGCCATGCGTCACGTACATGCCATTCACCAACATCCTTTCGTAGTCAGATCACCCCGGCGCCCCCTTTCCCAGTTGCACTGGACCGGCCAGCCATTTCGCTGTTGCTGTTGCCTTTGCTGCTGCTGTTGATGTTGTTTGTTCGCTCGCTTGCTTGCTCGTTTTGCTTCTTTGTCTATTTGGTGGTTTGTTTGGTTGGTTTGTTTGGTTGGTTTGCTTGGTTGGTTTGGTTGGTTGGTGGTTGTTGGTCGTTGGTTGTTGTTTGTTATTGTTGGTGGTTAAGGTTGTTGCGGTTGATCTGGTTGTTGAGGTTGTTGTGGTTGTCGTGGTCGTGGTCGTGGTCGTGGTTGTTGGTTGTTTGTTGTAAGTTGTTGGTTGTAAGTTGTTGGTTGTAAGTTGTTGGTTGTTGGTTGTTGGTTGTTTGTTGCTTGTTGTTTGCTGTTTGCTGTTTGCTGTGTGTTGGTAGTTGGTTGTTTGTTGGTTGTTGGTTGTTGGTCGTTGTTGGTCGTTGTTGGTCGTTGTTGGTCGTTGTTGGTTGCTGCTTGTTGGTTGTTGCTTGTCGGTTGTTGTTTGTTGGTTGCTGGTTGTTGTTGGTCGTTGTTGGTCGTTGTTGGTCGTTGTTGGTCCTTGTTGGTCGTTGTTGGTTGTTGCTGGTTGTTGTTGGTCGTTGTTGGTCCTTGTTGGTCGGTGTTGGTTGTTGTTGGTTGTTGTTGGTTGTTGTTGGTTGTTGTTGGTTGTTGTTGGTTGTTGTTGGTGGTTGTTGGTGGTTGTTGGTTGTTGTTGGTTGTTGGTTGTTGGTTGTTGGTTGTTGGTTGTTGGTTGTTGGTTGTTGGTTGTTGGTTGTTGGTTGTTGGTTGTTGGTTGTTGGTTGTTGGTTGTTGGTTGTTGGTTGTTGGTTGTTGGTTGTTGGTTGTTGGTTGTTGGTTGTTGGTTGTTGGTTGTTGGTTGTTGGTTGTTGGTTGTTGGTTGTTGGTTGTTGGTTGTTGGTTGTTGGTTGTTGGTTGTTGGTTGTTGTTGTTGTTGTTGTTGTTGTTGTTGTTGTTGTTGTTGTCGTCGTCGTCGTCGTCGTCGTCGTCGTCGTCGTGTTGTGTTGTTGTTGTTGTTGTTGTTGTTGTTGTTGTTGTTGTTGTTGTTGTGTTGTGTTGTTCGTTGTCGTTGTCGTTGTCGTTGTCGTTGTCGTTGTCGTTGTCGTTGTCGTTGTCGTTGTCGTTGTCGTTGTCGTTGTCGTTGTCGTTGTCGTTGTTGTTGTTGTTGTTGTTGTTGCTGCTGCTGCTGCTGCTGCTGTTGTTGTTGCTGTTGCTTGAGGTTTGTGGTTGTCGTTGTTGCTGCTGCTGTTGCTATGGCTGTTGCCGTTGGGGTTGATGGGGGAGATGTCATCTTTTCGCTTTTTGGCCAGATTTGGATTTAGTGTTTGTGTTGTGTGTGTCAAGTTGCGAGGCATACATTGCCAATCATTGTTTTTTCCGCGGGGTTGGGCCATTGAACCTTCCACCCTCCCAGCACGCAGGGGGAGTCGCTTTTTGAGTGCATTCAACTCGATTTGAAAGCGGTTAGGTCCGTGCGCGGGCCCATTCAAAAACATGCAGGACCAGCAGCTGCAGCCGAACGTGGTGGCCTTCTCTGCCGCGCTCAAGGCAAGATGGGGCAAGCACATCACAGGAATTCCTTGTGGCTTGCAGGGCCGTGGCTCCACTCAGCAAAGCAGATAGCCTGGTGAACCGCAATGCGCGAACCGCGCAGAACACAGGGCTTCTACGCCCTCATAGGCTTGCGTGTTGCAACCACAAAAAAAGCCAAAAAAAAAAAAAAACCCAAAAAAAACACAAAAACAAACACATGAGCAAGGCGCAACCAAACATATGCACCCGGCTCTCTAGAACACGATGTGACAACCGGCGATTGGTCGAGACCTACGGTGTCATTGGCCGCGGGGGGCTGCAGCCATGGCCTGGTCGCCGCAGCGACCCAGAGGGCAGTGGCCTGCTGCCACAGCCGCAGCTTCCAACGCCTCATGGCCAAGCGGTCATCAACCGAGCCGCTTGGAGACCTGGGGCTCGAGGAGTGTTGTTTCACTTGTGGCCGTTTCTCAGACGGTCAGATGGGACTTGATTTGGGTGTGTCCCAAGCCAGGGGATCACTACTACCTGGTTCCGGTTTTGTTTCTCTTTAAGCACTGTCCCTGAAATTTGGGTGACATCCATTGGTTGTAGCAAGTAGGATGGGCTTGCCAACGCCGTGCTGGAAAAGCACAGTACTTCATGACAGCCGCCTTGGCTGGAGCGGCCGCTGCGAAAACCTCTTTCAGCTGGAGAAGTTGGATTCAGAGAGGCTCTGCCACAAAGCCTGCGCGGAAGATCCTCGCTGCCCCTTAGCCCGGCATTTTGGGCTTTTTGGCCATGAGAAACGTGGGATGTTGAAAGGTATAGGCTTATAGTTCAATTTTTGTTTGCCTGCACTCATGAGAGGGAGAGAGAGGTTGTTTTCTCTTTAGCGTCCCGGCCAGGTCTTGTTTAAGGACACGCTTTCATCCAAAGCTGCTCACCTGGCCCATCCCACCAAAGGTCTTCTAGCCAACGGGGAGGGTGCTGTTGCAGATTCCTTGCCTTTCTCCCTCGTTTCCGACTCAAACCCCTTAGGCCCGGTGTGGCAATTCAGCGCGCGGGGTTGTTGGATCGGCTTTGGCATCGACTGCGAGCGTCCGGGCGGCAGCTTCGAGGCGGGCGTGGCGGCGCAGCGCCTGCTGCATGGCTCGGTGTACGTCGTGGGGGAGCTGGTGGGGGCGACTGGTGCCAAACCCGCCGTGGAACCGGGGGTGGGGTGGGAAGGAAGGGGCTGTAAAGTTGGGTGTGGACCATTGGTAGAGGGTCGTAGAGGGGGCTTGCTCTTTTTGTTTTATATAGGCCGGCAGCGAGATATAATACACTCTCCACCACAAATAGGGCAGATCTTCTTGGTTTACGTTTGGCCTGGGTTGTGACACATGGGAGGCGGGATTGTGGTCACGAGTGCACGGAATTCGAAATTCATTTTTGGCCTTTCAGCCTCAAGATGTGTGGCGTGAGTGTTTCGCTGGATTTGCAAGATTTACAACTCGTTCAACGCTCGCCTTGGTGTAGAGGCTGCCGTTTTGGCAGCCTCTTGAGGGTGGCGTGTGTGTGTGTGTGTGGAATCGGCGGCCGTGCAATTAGTTTTGTGCCATGGGCACACGTGCAGGCGTTTGCACTGCCGGCTTTGGCAAGGGTCGTATCATGCAGTACAAGGGTTCTTTCTTGGTCGGAACGCACGCGTTACTCATGGGTGCCCCTCATGGTGCCTGTGCGCGTTTGGCGCCATTAGTTGCATTCGTCGCGCGTGTGAGCAGGCATGCTTATCATTTAGCGCACGTTTATGCAGTGAATTTGCGAAGCGCGTGGGAAAGCGTGCTAATCATTCGATGCTAGCGTGCGAGTGGCTCACCCGTGTCACCCACTGATCTCAAAGCCGAGGCGTTTGCAGTTGCGAGTCGCCTCTCAATGGCGGTCAATTGCAGGAGAGAAAGAGCACCATCATATCTTATTCTCTGTCACACATTCCTCTCTCCTACACACTCAATCACCGATAAAGAGAGAGGGAATGTGGAAAGGAACATATTTAGAATGGCAAGGACGGATATAGATAGGTGGGCAAGATAGGTTCTTCTTTCCATGGAATTCACTCACCATTTCCAGCTTCCTATGGTCGCATTCTCTCATTTCCATTTCCTTCATCATTTGGTACAGGCAATGAGATGTAAGACGGACAATTATTAACAAAGACAACTCGCTTCGCTCGTCCACAATGGCCGAGTTCACGGGTAGACGGAGGTTAGAGGACACATATACCCGTTGTATAATGGGAAGATTCAAGACGATATGATGAATGCTTAGGAAGAGGTCACCCAAGAAGAGCTAGCTAATTCTCCATCATAGGGTGCAGGCTGCGCAGTCCCACAGCCAACCCATCTTCTTAATCCTCCTTCACCTGCTGCAGCTCGCAGGTTTCCCGAACCAAAACGAATGTGGATGGCTTGGGGGGGGTGTTTGGGCGTGCTTGGTGCACACCTGGCAGCGCGAGGTGAAGCTGGAGAACCTCTTCAGACTGGAGCCTGAAGCATTTGATTCCTTGAGCATTGAGCGATGCAAAGCGTGGTGCTACTCGAGCATTGCATGCCAGTATTGGCAATTCTCTGAAACTCAAGGCTGCTTCGTGGATGCGCCAATGCTCAGCAAGACGCTTGTGCCATATCCACTAACTACTGCAGCACTGGCGAGCGGAACTCCTGAGTCAAGCAACATGATCGCAGGTGAGTACATCCACCACTACTGCCCAAACAGAACCGCTTCAGATGTCGACGATGGTTTCGCTGCGCAGGTGCCGGCAAATCTAGCAGTTCCGACGCATTTGGATGGACCACGTGTGTGGCCCTGGGTTGTTCTCAGCCTTCTTCTCACACTCGTGCTGATGATTGCGGCTTTTGCCTTCTACTCTGTCATATGGAAGCGCCGTGACACTGCCCGACGCCCGCTTGCACGCCGGGCCATGGACGAGACTGTTGCAGATGCGCGGCCAAATGTGCAGTTCACCCCTGTGCAGGTTGCGCCTGTGCAAGCGGCGCCTTCGCCGGTGTTTCTATCACCTGCTGCATCTCCAGGCCACCCAACACCGGGCCATTACCGACTACAGGGAACGCCACAGCATTCCCCTTTGATGAGCCCTTTTGGGACGGCAGGCTACTCTCCAATCGCAGCATCATCACCGTTTCATGTTCGGCAAGGCTGAGCTTGGTGCTGCAAAATGATGCCAAAAAGGGGCGTGAGCAAACCTGCAATGCTGCAAGGCGCAGTCTGAGTCTTGCACCGTCTTTTGCAGAACGCCAGGCGTGTGCGCGTGCGACAGATGCCCTCCAGGCGCAGCAGCTGCTGAAGGCACGGCACCGCTGTTGATAGTGATTGTTTTGCAGCATTTGCATCGTGACACTTTGGAATGCATCATGAGGGAAACTTGTGGGTGAGGGAAGACACCGGCCACTTGCTGCGTCATATTGACCATACCCAACCCTGTGGGCATAGTCCTTGATATCAGCCACAAGCCTAGGATATGGCGAGACACGCTGTACAGCCCAACGTCATCTCCTACACCTCTGCGATTGAGGTTTGTGCTAAGAGCTGGCCAAGGTGCCTGGCAGCGTTGTTGCCCAAGCATCATGTTGGCGAACGGAAGCGAACGTATGACTTCTTTTTCCCGATTTTGGTGCTTTGCCATGCACCTGTTTGTTTGGCAGACACATGCGTCGGCCAGCACGCTGTGTCAGCCGATGGTACCAGCCAGCTCTGGAATGCCGCCCTTTTCCGCCGCAGGCAGAAGGAGGAGGCGGAGAGCCTTTTCCGGGAACTGCTGCGGAAGGGTGTCCAGCCCGACACGAAACTGATGCGCAGCTTGGGCAAATGGCATTTTTGAACCTGAGAGAGATCAATATGACACTTCTGAAGCTGGCATTGGGCAGGCGATAGGCACGGGGCCGACATTCTAGGCCTACCTTCCAGCTAACACACAAGCTGAGGCACAATGATGCGGGCAGTCGGCATGACCCATTGCATGGAGCTCTGTCGTGAACTGGGAGTTCCTTAGCCTGCAAGGCCCCTTGTCCAGAGAGAGGCAACGTCGCTTGCGCGGCCCAGGTAGTGGATGCCGCGGTGGACGCCCTGGCAGCTTCATTTCCTGGCGCGGGCGCAGAAAAAGCCTAATTCAAGGAAGCTTGAGGTGTGTCCGCTGCGAGGGTATGCGTAGTATGGCATGTTTCTCAGATCAGGGGGGCTCCGGAGTCGCTTGCCTCGGCACGGACAATACCGCGCCTAGCCTAAGCTTGAGGCTACTGAGGCCATCTCGGCTCGCTGTAGCGGAGATGCGCGCACTTTTAGTAGCATGCGCCTGAGCATCCACAAGGACGCGCATGGGCCAGGGATATGCTGGGATGGTTGCGGTTGCCTTGGGCCCTACAGGATTTTGCCAGCGCAGCTCGAGGAAGGGAGTTGGAACGGAGGTGACCACACTTCTTGCAAGTCTAGTGCCCAAAGGCCTCAGATCAAGCAAGCCATTCTCTTTTTCGACATATTCACCTGAGATATGTTGGCATGTGGACTTGCCAGTGTGTGAAGGAGGCCCTTGTGGTCTGCAAGGTATGGGATGCGGATGTTCGCTCGGAGTGATTCGGATGCACAGAGGAGTCAGTTGCAAAAGACCAGTGTCCAGTTTTGATTTGCAGAAATTGTGGCAGCGCACGCCGCTCTGCATAAGGCGGAGACTTTGGTTCCCACTGAGGGCCTGCCACTCCCTCAGAAGCGGCTACGTCAACTGCCTTTGCGGACGAAGGTAGAACTGTTCCCCAAACGAACGTGGTAAAATTAAGTTGGCCCAACGCGAGACTACCACCGAGGTTCTTCCAGAACTTCAAGCTCGGCAAGAAGTTGGGCGAGGGGGCTTTCGGACAGGTCCGCCTGACCACCAGGACGGCGTGTTGCCAGGATGCAGTGAAATTCCCGGTGGTGTCAGCGTAGACGTTGCGAACGGCGACAGAAACAGGATCAGCACTGGTGCGACCTATGCCGTGAAAATCATGGACGTCCGTCGCTCTGGAGATGTAGCTCAGCTGCACGCATTTCTGAAGTTCCTTTTTTGTTTGCAGCCAAGTCGCAAAGTGGAAGCACTGGTTGTTTCCTGCCAGGACAAGTCTCTGGACGTGCACATCCTCAGGCCTGGGCACTGGGGTACTCCCTTGGCATTTTTTCGACCCTTCTCCAAGGCTTTCCTTGACCGTAGCTCAGTTAGATTGAGCCTTCGTAGGCTGAACTTGCAGCTTTGAGAGGTGAAGCTTTATCAGGGGCCTAGGGGTGTTGTCCTTGCAATCTTTACATGCTGATGGGCATGGTATGGCATAGTCATGGACACTGGGTGGCTGCTCGATTTTATGATTCACACAGTCTTTTTCAACATGACAGAAATCTCGATTTCGCATTGAATCGTTCCTGCGTGCATGCGCGACTTCTAGCACACTCTTGGCAGGGAAGCGCGCAGCGAATCGCAGCTCCTGGGGGAAGTCTCAGGCCACCCACATGTGGTGGCTTTGTGTCCCGGCAGATTTCCTTCAGCTTGTTTTTCTGTTCATGGGTCACTGGTTCTGCGTGCTTTTTGGTTTGCGGGGTGGGTGGTTGCGAGGTGTGCCCGTGGAGAGAGAGAGATAGAGAGAGATCTCGCGGGCTTTCCACATGAGGTATGAGACATACTTGGAGACACCGGGCTTGTTCTACATGATCATGCAGAGGCATGGCGTCACCAGCTGCCCCAGCCACGAAGCGCACACTTTGATGAGCACCCCCACCCCCCCCCCCCCAAAAAAAAAAAAGAAGAGAAAAGAAAGAAGTGTCACGGCCAGGTCGCGTGCAGCGGTTCATTGCATGTTTGCTTCACGGCATTTTCGATTCGCTTTTCACCAGCCTCGCTAGGTGCTTTGGGTCTTTGATGGATAGTCTTTGTGACATGCCGAAGCTCGCCGAGTGTAAGCTCAGGCGAATGTTCCGAGACTTGGGCGCGAATGTGGGGTAGGGGAGGCAGTATTCATATCTTTCCGCACTAGGCACCAACAGACACTTCGAGATATTTCTTGCTATTTGTTGCAGTCTTTCCAGGATACCGGCAATGGTTGGTTGCTGATTTGGTTCTGCTGCTGAGCTGCTGTGAATGACTGTTACTGCATCATATTGACGTTTGGCGCTCTATCTTGTCTACTTTGAGCCCGGCCCAGAAGCCCAGCCCAACCCAGCCCAGCCCAGCCAGGCAGACAGGCAGGCAGACGTTCCTGTGCTGACTGTTCCTCAAACTTGCTTCACCTGATTTTGTCGATCCACGGATGTGAACCCGAACGACAACCGAAACAAGCCCAACCGCTGCAGAGCAATCGCCAACCCGGGATTGAATGTAAAGTTTTTCCGACCTCTCATGAGCTGTTACAACCCTCGGGCCAACCATTGCTGAGGACAGATGCTGTCGGGCATCGGCGCTTGTCACGATGCCAGGATAGTCCACAGAGCCGTGGCAGCACATATGTCCCAAAGAAAGCAATGCTGGGTGCGTGGCATCTTGTGCCTTTGGCCTTGCCTAGCTAGCCTCGCCTTCGAGGAGACATCAAATTGGACAACTTCTTGTACGGCGGCGAGGACCAAGAGACCATCAAGTTGTCCGACTTCGGACTTGCTGCCAAAATCCCTTCGTCTGGCTACCTCAAGGGCAGCTTGGGCCAGCACGCAGCGAGTTGCATTTGCCTTAGGCAGTGGGCTATGCCAAACCCTTGCCTCAGGTGTGTCAGGCACGGCGCCTTACATGTCACCGGAGATGCTGGCAAAGAAGTCGTACAGCACGCAAACCGATGTTTGGTCCTTTGCCTCTACGGTGCAACCTGGCTGTCTCTGGCGTGCAAGCGGGTGATGGGGAAGTGTCACCAGAACCGGAAATATTGCGAGATTCCCGCTGCTCAATCGTTTCCAGCATTTGGCAATGCTAAGGTATGTCATTTTGTACGGTGATGTGCCGTACTCACCATCGCAGCCTTCGCCTGCAGCTGTGAAGAAGGCATTGACGGGCGTTTCATGTCGGGTTGAGGCCCAGCTTGCAGAGACTCAGCAAGCAAATAGGAAGGCCTAGCTTACGGGGACTCAAATGCTGAAATAGGAAGCAAATCAAAAAGTGCAACCAAGTCGACCCCTGAATGGAGATCACCCGAACCTCGATCACAGTGCCAGGGTTCAGTATGCTCTGCACTTCGCGGCAGTTCGGAAGCTCTGGAACCAACAGAGCCAGCCTCTAAGGACTCTAAGCTATGTAAGCACGTAACTCAAAGGATTAAGGCAGATTCTGTGCAGGCCATATTCCATATGTGAGCAGATATGTCAGATAACATATCCAACCCATGGCGATTGCAAGTTGATGCCACAGACCTCCGGTTTTCAAACGAAGTCATGCTTTCTGCGTTCCAGGCCATCGCGACTGCGCATCCTCCACCTCGATGGATGCGAAGCGCAAAGCTGGCCAAGCGGTACGACCAGCCGTGCTCAGGCTCCTTGGGGCCCTGCAAAGCTAGTGGCGCATGTATCTAAGCTGCTTTCACCCGCTCCGACTTGGTACGCTATTAAGGCTTGACACGCTTGGCTTTCCTTGGCCTAACCCTTTGCGTGCTTTGTTCTGCTTCGGATTGGGATCTTGTCCAGCGAGCCAGGCGCAGAGAATTTCTGCCGCTTTTTGCAGCTCGCCTGATCTAACTCCCACTGAACTGTGGTTGTTGGCACGATTCTGCTGACAATGGGCGGCAGTATTTGCAGCAGCCAAAGCTCCAGCAGAATCACAAATGAGATCCCCTCACTATTGCCAACCATGTCAGACCAAGTCACGACTCATGGGTTTGACACTTTGCCAGGTTTCAATGTGTTGCCTGGTGCGAGGCTGGTGCGAGAGCCTTCACAGCGGCCAACTGTCCACGCGGCGCTGATGCACAGCTTCGTGGAGGCGGGGCGGGACATTGGCCGGATTCGGCCAGGTGAGGCCCGAGACCCGCATTCGCGGGTTTGCCTTGGAAAAGATGGGCCATCCGTTCACTTGGACTGCGGATGGGCCAGTGCCAGGATTGCATTCCCGAGAAGGTGCGGGAGGTGACTCCGCTGCACCTCCATCGGTGGAAGCATTGCGGTTCACATTGCGCACCACATATTTCACCTTCCCCTCAACGTCAAGCTGTTTTCACTTTGTTTTTGCGTTGTGAGTTGTTCCTCCCCTTTCAAACCTGTGTATGCTTCTGTCATGAATGCATTGGAGCATTTTGTGAGCGCGCACTGGACCAGATTTGTGGGTGTTGTGCAGCCTTTTGCCACGTGCTACGAAACATGTCTTGGGCAGCGTTCAACTTGGCGTTTTGCAGGCAAGAACCTGAATAGCCTGAGGAGTCGCCCGTCCTCATTGAGACAGCTGGGGAGCAGGTGCGGACAATTGCGGAGATGAGCCTTGGCTTGAGGCCCTGAGTTTGCCAAACAGATGTCAAAGCTGGGTTTTGACAGGGCCAGTTGCATAGGTTGCAAAATTTCAGGAGAATTAGGCAAAACATGGCCATTGGCGAATGACCGCCACCATGTGGAAGTCAGCATGCCCGTTTGCAAGTTTCCGAGGTTCAAGCTGGAGAAGCCTCGCATCATCAGCCGAAGACTGGATGAGGCGCGTGCCTGCTCTGTGCGGTTGCATGGGCTTGCGGGTGAGCAGCAAACTGTTGACAGCTTTTTGCCAGACATGTAGACGGCAGCGCTCTTTCTCAGATACTATTTGCCTGTTTACTGTCAATAGGCAACTGGAACCATCACGTTTTTGTCACCCCTGTCTGGTCAGGTTCCGGGCCGCTGCATCGTTGTGCTCGGTAATTACAACTCTTGTTATCGTTCCGATTTCGATCCCGATTACGGGTGCGATTCTACTACTACCTTTCAGCTCTTAGCTCCTACCTCCTCCTCCTACCTCCTGCCACCTACTACCTACTACCCAAGACCTACTACTTACTACCTACTACGTACTAGCAGTACTATTACCTACTACTAATGACTACTACCACTGATGCTACTACTAATTGCTACTACTAGTTCAAGTTGCTGTTGCTATCACTGTTGCTACTGCCAGTACTACTCACCATGACTAATACTGCTGTTGGTGCCATTCCTTTTTCTATCATCTTTGTCGCTAGCAGGGCAGGCGGGAAGTTTCAAGCCATGTACAAAGCTCTCTTTCGTTCTTTCTTTCTTTCTTTCTTTCCTTCTTGCTCTTGCTTTCTCTCTTTCTTTCTTTTTCTTTCCTTTTTCCCTTGATCTTGCTCTTTCGGTTCCTCTTTCTCTCTTTCTCTGTCTCTTGTTCCTTCCGTGTTCTCTTCATTCCTTTTCTCGTCTTTGTCTATCCTCTCTCTTGTATTTATCTTTGTCTTCTTTCTCTTCCTACTCCTTCTCTTCCTCTTTCTTTTTCCCTTCCTCTTTTGTATCTCTTTCTTTTTCCCTATTCATCTATCTGTCTATCTTTCTATCTATCTATCTATCTATCTATCTACCTACC